ATCGACGGGATCATCATTCGCTAATTGTAATTGGCGCAGTACTAATGCGTCATAACTAGACTATCACTAACAACATATTACTTCAATAAAGGATGAATTTCAAACATTATCTTTTACATGCTCTTGTCTAATTTTCATAGATTTATAAATAAAATTTTTTGATAACGCTCCGTTACATTACAAAACAATCACTTCTTCATAACAAACTTCGATTATTATCGAGTAATCGAAAACGAAATTCGAACCCTTGAATCGGATCTCGAGAAACAATTAATCGATTTTACAACTTAATTTACTTTAAAATCGATTCTATTCCCTAGAACGGATTTGAGTTTGTCCAATATTACAAATATCTCTATAAAGCAAATATATCGTAATCGCCTCAAATTAAATTATATTATTTGAAAAGAGAATTAAGCTTTGAACTGAATAACGGTCTAGTCTAATAAAAGTTATATTTCATATTTATAACAAGGCTATATAAGTTGATAAATATTTATCAAAGTTGAGCACTAATGCAAAGAATATTAAAACGGATATCTTCAATACTACAATAAAAAAAGAGCCTGAGATAACAACGAAAATTTAAGTCTATTATTAATCGTTAGAAGTTGCTCTTTAATAAAATTTTCGCGATAACAATTCGACTTTGGTAAGTATTATAGGATTTATATAACCAATATACAGCATAGCGTAACGTAGGCCCAAAGAAAAAGAAGCCAAAAAAGTAGGAGACTTAAAATAATAATTATATTTTTTATTAAATAAATATATTTCGAATTTGATAATAAATTTATTTATTTTTATAAAATAAATTTTTAATCATTTAATATTTATCATTTGATTGAAATAATAATTTGATCCTTATGATTTGATTTGATTATTTATTGAACTATTATTATTTATTTATTATTTTAATTAAATAATTATCTAATTTAAATAATAAATGCAAAATTTTATTTTTTAATTCATAAATATTAGTTGTATTTAGATTAATATGATAAAATAAAATGTGAAAATATTGCAAAATTTAATATTTGTCTTAATTACTACTAAACTTAATTAAAGAAAATTTAAATATATAAACGCATAAAGGCATAAGTTTATTAATATTTTAGAAATTTCAAATATAAGTCTAATCAAAGTTTCAATGTCCTAATTTAAATTTCTTGAATTATTCCTTTTCTGTCTTAATCTTTACTTCTTTTATATATTGATGTTCTAAAAAGAGTGATGGTAAATGAATCACATACGTTCATAGAAATAAATCATATGAATGTACCATTTTGAAAAGACCTTGGCTTTTCCTTATTTTCGGGTTCTTCCTTCTCTTTCTTAGTTCCACTTGGGCCTAAACAAATAGAACGATATAATGAATCACTGACGTATGCGTAAATCTAATAAATAAATCATATTTACCATTTTTAAAAGAGTTTGGTCTTTCCATTTTTGAGCCGTTTAACTTCTCTTTTTTAATCGGCACTTCCTTTACACATTTGATAGGACCACATGACCCTAAAAAAAGAATGATATTATGAATCACATACGTTATATAAATATGACAAATATATCATAAAGAAACAAATCAAAGATACTTACCATTGGAAAAAAATAAAATTCCTTTGTCGAAACCTTTATGGATAGCCAATCGGAGACGATTATTTGTATTTGTGTTGTCGGGAAGGTTATATGTAGTCAAAATGTATTTCTTAATAGTTTGACGGCTATGTTTAATAAATGAATCAAATTAGGAGAATATATTTCAGTAAGACAAAAAAACTTTGAAACATATGAAAACCTATAGAAAAGTTCCTAACATGCTTCCATTACGTTCATCCAAAGTGATGATGGCGTCTGAAAATTATGATAATTCGTAACGTAAGTTAATAAGTTTTTAAAAGTGTATTTTTCTTTTATTTATGTATTTATTTATTTTTTAAATCAAGAAAACCTATTCCAAGTATTTTGTCGGTTTTCTCTATGAAATTAACAAATAAACAAGAGACAATTTTCATAATTTTACCTCGAATCATATCTTCGTATTTCGGATGTTGTAATTCTACCTTGTTTGGTTTAGCGGGACTTGAGCTCTCTTTTGACATTGTTTCTTAAAATATCCGTTTGAATGAAATAAAAATAGTTATATTCAAGGACATGAATGTGAATAAATTTATGTAGAAAGTTTTAAGTTGCAAGATAAGTAGCGTGTAATAATAATATTTGCTAATAAACGTGCACTGTTTGTTTACCTTGGTATAGTTTACCAATATCTTCATCTGAGACTGCGGTGTCCAATAGTTTTTGCTGGTGGTAAAATTTTGCAAAGTTGAAATCCATGTTAATGAAATGAGTAAGAGAGAATTATTTTTCATTTTCCAATATTTATGATGCGATTTAATTGTCACGTGGTCGATCATCTTTAATCATTGCGAAAAATCAAATAAATATCTTTTGGTTTTAATTCTTCAGTAGTAATTACTTATAAGCAACTTTATTTTCAATTTCGATTCTATAAGTTTATGAAGTGAAAAAAAATTCCAATTCAATAATTAGTTCATGATTTGGATATTGTGGATGTTAATAATTGCCTTTAGCCTCAGAACTCTTGATCTATAATCGAAATTACTTTATACACTTATCAACCAAACGAAAAGTATATATTTTATAATTTTAATAATTGTATAACATATTATGAACTGCTGTCCTCATCATTTTCATCATTTGAATATTAGAAAATACATTTCTATTGGTTATGTTGTGAAAGGTCTCGCCAAACGATGTTCAAATCAGCCTTCCAGTTGAAATTCAGGGATGAAGAAGATATGAATTTATTTTGGAATAATAAACAAACAGATATTTGATTATGAATAATAATTTGCAACTCATACCAATTTTATAAGCAATGCAGAAAATATCAATTGACCGGATTCACATGTTGCGATCATAATTAGTGATTCCAATGTACGATTAATAATAATTCCTGATCTTGAACGTGCTTATGAGGTAAGTAAAGTTAGTATAGTATTCAATTCAATTTCATACATACAGGAGTATCCTTAGATCTAATGTTTTTGTAATGTGATAATATATGCCGAGACCGGTTATCGAGGTTAGACGCTTTGTAATAATACCTAGCAAGATAATTTTTTGGCATCTCATTCAAGACGAATAATTAGTGATATAACATATCTTCAGCACATTACTGCTTAACGGAAAATTCTTGTCGAAATCGGTCATGTAACAGGTTTAGGCAAGGAAAATTTCTCTTTAAAAGCTCCTATAATTAACCTGTAAACCGTGGCAAAGGTTCAAAGAATATACAAAATTGTGGACGTGCTGTCAATAATTTATCTTTTCAATCCGTTGATTTTATATGATAAAGGCAGAGGTTTTATCATTACACACTGTGATATTTATTTATCAGGTTGTATTTTGTCTAAATTTATTTAATTTTTATTTTTTACTTAAGTTTTATCGCGCTTAAAGATTTTACTTTTCCGCCTTTTGATTTTTTCTCAAGTGGAAGGAATAGGCAAGAGAATTTTTTTTTTTAACTATTTTTTTTTGATTTTTGATTTTGTTTTTAAATCCTTCAATTTGGATTGGATCGTTTCGGAAAGCATAGGTTATGTTTGTTTATTTTTTTCTTTGAAAAATTAAAATGAATGGTTGAAGAACTTTCTACTTTGACAACTGCATTGGTGGATTTTTTATTTTTATTATTGTCGCCAATAAAAATAGATGATTTTATTTGATTTTCGATTACTGTAATTCATTTTTGATAGAATTGATTCCGGACATTTGTAATCTAATTACATAGAAAAATATTACTTCTGATAAAAACCTCTTTGTACATAATCCCATTCAACTGTGGCGCTTTAATCCACTCTGCTCTTTTTGCTTAGTGGTTGGTTGTAAGAATTTATAATGAGAGGAAAATGAAATTACACAAATAATATGTTGAAGGGATGTAACACAATAAATAGTCTTCATGACATAAATTAGGATTTTACAATAAGATATCCCTTTATAGTAAAATAAACAGTTTCACATCACATTACACTAAAAATTAATTTAAACTTATTTATTTATTTATTTATTTATTTTTTTTTTTTTGGATTATTATAATTGCAACATTATCAAATTATAATAATTTTCAAATGTATCTCTTTAATAATTATATACTTTTATTAATCATTTCATTGGTGACATATCCAATAAATTCGCAACAAATTTTTACATATGATGAGCAAATTAAGAACAGTAATCCCTTTATATATAATATTGTTAGTTATTATGATAACACGATAGTAGTTCATATTATTCGTCATTTATCATACCCTAACGAAGATGGTTCACGTTGTGGAGATAATTTCTTGACATTTCGCACAATTTATCCTAATGGGACAGTGGTTCTAATTGATATGAAATTGGATGTACAAGATTTTAACTTTTGTCTTTTGGATATCAATGGAAGATTTGTTAGCGCTATTGAAATTTTTCCAATAAGGGAAAATTTTCTGTTAGTAACTTATGCTGAAGCCACGCATTTTGATGACCCTTTTACTTATAATGAAATGGCAATGGTTATTGATTTAAATGAAAACATTTATAGGTTAGTAAAAATTGAAATTTATAAAATTTTAACTATATATAATACTTACGATTGATTTTTGTAGTAACGTTCTATTTGGACCTGCATACGTTAATCTTACCACTAATACATGGCTACCTAGTCGAGCTAGAATTTTTGATGATTTTAAACTTGACCGTGGATTTCTCCGTTTGGAAAGAACAAATACTAAGGAATATTTCTGGCAGCAATACTTTGTGTAATTATTATTTAAATTAAAATTACTTTCTTATTTATGTTTATATAATTTAATTTACTTATTTCTATTATTTTTAATGAAGAACTGAAGCAGGAAAAATCATACTTCTTGCAAGTGATATCTTACGTTTTTTAAATTCTTCTAGTCATATAGTTACAACTGTCCCTATGATCGACGGAAGATACGCAATAGTTTATGCTAATTCTACAAATTCTGATACCACATCCCAGGACCCTTTTTATCCAGTTGGAGCCATATATGCAATATTTTTGGAATATGGCAAAGTTACTGAACTAAATCCTGTTATTCTTTATCAATCATTAATTTCAAATGTAAGATTTACTCATATTAATTGCGATATTTCTTACGTGGGATTTGGGTTAAGATGTATTGTAACAATTGAATATGCACAACAAGATGTTATAAATAAATCTTACCTAAATGTAGATTTTCTTTCATCAGGAGCATTTGTATCTCTGGTTAAGCCGTTGATGACTAATTTTCAAAATACTTTAATATATGATCAATATTATGTTCAATTATTACCGTATGGAGGTTATTTATTAAGTGACACACAAATGGTTGACGACAATCACACTATTATTGGTGGTTATATTTTTAATGACAGTAAAAACGTTATTCCTTGGGACCTTCCAAATCCTATTATATCAAACCTTTTAGGAACCTCAACTATCATGAAAAATAATACTTATGTACTTGCTCAAATTGAAGGAATGCAAAATTGATCTTTGATTACTACTGATTTGCCTCAATTGAATGATAGAGATAAGATTACAAATATCAAAAAAGATAATTTAAATTTAAATTTAAATATATCCCTTCTACTTTATTAATATTCTAGATAAAGATAAGGGATATTGTACTTTTCATATCGATACGACTTATCCGAATATTAATGATACGAGAGTCTTTGAGATAAAATATTATGATATAGTTGATATTTCAAATGAATACATTGCAATTTATCAAAATGATGGGAATTTACGTCAAAAAGTATCTGGATTGGACTTTAGATATATATCTCAAAGTGAAGATCAAAGGACTATTTTTGCTGAAATAATCAATAGCACATTAAATTAACCTGGAAGTATTTATTTTGTTGTAATTGAAGTTAATTTTGTAGAGAATGCATTTTACCAAGAGGCACTCTATGGAATAAAAGAACATATTTGGTATTTTAACAGTATTGCACGGTTTTGATTTAGATATTTTAGTTAATTTATCATATGTAACTTAGCCATATTTTTTTAGTAATATATTAGCTGGTTTATGCTTAATAAAATATTTAAATAATTGTTAAAATTAAAGCATTGCAAGGTGTAAAATCGAAAATTTAAAAACACATTACTTTTCAATTTATCGCATGTACTAAGCTTCGATATCGGATTCAATATTTGGTTTTTTAGATTTTTCTCTTGCAAAAGAAACCAAATAACTATTGTATAATGATATCCTATAATATTTATGATTTCTGAGATACTAAACCAAATTTTTTGCTATAATAATGCTCTATTTTTCTAAAAGATAAGTCCTTTAATTATACTATAACTTGCGCCAAATCGAACTTTGGGAGTATTTTCAAATTTGATTTTACGAATTACAACATATTAATTCAAACTTTAATAAAAATATTTCATTTATAATCGATAATCAATATGTTACTAAAAAAATATGGCTTAGTTACATATGATGAATTAACTAAAATATCTAAATCAAAACCGTGCAATACTTTTGTCCTGCCCCGGTAAATGCCATATTTCTCTAATTCCAAGGATCGAAATTATTTATATATTGATTATTTTAAAGTAGTTCCTGAATCAAGAGAATTTTCAGGTAGTGATATGGGGTGGTCTCAATTGACTATAGAAGGTACTACGTTTTTTGAAAGCTTTAACAAATTCGCAAGCTCGATTTTTTACGAGAAATTAATACAAGAATTGGCTCAAGCAATTCCTGTCAGTCATGAGCGTATAACAACTAATTATAGGACTGAAGTTGACACTTCAGTTTTTCCGAGACAAATAATTTTATCTTTTAATATTGAACATGGTGGATCTAGAAAGGAGTTATCAGCTAACTTAGCAACCAAGGATTTAGATACTTTGATCAAAATAAACGTATCACTATTATCGCATCCGGTGAAAGTTCAAAATATTTAGATGAAAATTATGGATATCAATCTATTTGTAAGTATTAATTACACCTTATGGAGTTATTTTTTTATGACGTTAAGAAAATAAAAAACTAAA